ACACATCATACACAATTGGGCTAAAGTTACCCAAAAGGCATAGTTTTGCCCTCTTTGTGTGGGACTTGAAAGTGGGCCGACCTTGAGGGGTAGTTCAAGCAGAAAGTTGATGCAGAACCTCATCACCTTTCCCGTTGGTTCGGGTGAGGTTTTGGAGGGACTTTCCCATGTTCAAGAAGGCGAAAAAGACCCAACAACTCACGACTTCGAAGGTAGGGCATTGCCAAATCAAGCGCCGTACGCATGGCGAGAAGCCCCGTTCACGGGCCCGGGCAGATAAACAGATAGATTGACAACAACAAATGAGTTAGATGAGTGATAGATAGTTAGACAGGGATTTAGATAGATAGGAGAAAGGTAGAAAGGTAGATAGATAGATAGATAGAAGATTAGATAGATTAGATAGGTTAGATAGATTAGATAGATTAGATAGATAGATGGATGGATGGATGGATGGATGGATGGATGGATGGATGGATGGATGGATGGATGGATGGATGGATGGATGGATGGATGGATGGATGGATGGATGGAAAGATAGATAGGGGTTACATTACATTAGATCAAACATCAGAGCCAGATAGATAGAATTGATATACAGGTCGGTAATGGAGAGGTAGACAGAAAGATAGGAAAGATAGATGCGTAGGTAGATGGACAAATAAATGGCTAGATAGATAGACAGGTTCATACGTAGAGAGCCTGCAGGACCCATTGATACACAAATGTTTGCTCGAGCTTTCGTGGCACATAAGTGCGCGAGAAATGGTAAATGCAAACACATGCAAACGCACAGATTGCGGGTCGGAGCTTTGGCTTTGCACACCTTGTTTTTGAGTGCGCCTGAGTTGGGGAAAATTGCGCCCGAGTAGCGGGAAATTGCACTCGTTGCGGGTTCGTTTCTCTCGAGCAGTTCACCAAGCATCTAGGCAACCTCAAAAAGTGCTCGAAGAAGATTTGAGCAGAAAAAAAAGCTCGAATGCCAAGTTCTGTCTGGAGCGCTTTTTTTGTATCAAAGGGTCCTCCAGGAGATATGTAGATAGAAGGATAGCAATAAAGAGAGACCGAGAGATAGAGAGCCAGACCGATTAGATTAGACGAGGTTAGGTCAGAATAGAGTAGATTAAACAAATAGGTTGGTAAGCGCAATGATCCGTAGATGGACAGACAGTTGGACAGACAGTTGGACAGACAAACAAATGCACAGAGAGATGCATTCATGAATAGGCAGGCAAATGGATATACAACCTGGGCAGGTACATGCGTAGGCAGGGGCACACGCACACAACGGTAGCTTTGGGCAAGTAATCTGCACGCGGGTCCGTGGCTTCTATCAGGTTTGAACTTGGTTGCCTGTGTCGTTAGCATAACCAGAGCTCCTGTTCAAAGCGTCTCTTAGAGTCTTAGAGCGCCTTTTTTTCCCAAAAGCATCTCTGATGTGGTGGGCTCTCGTTTAGTCTGCTTTACTGTATCCGCCAAAGGCCCCAAACCTCACTGGACGACACAAAAAAAAGATCCTTCCGGGAGCGCACCAAGGCGCGCTCGCCCACTAGGTAATCATAACGTAGTGTAGTTGAAGAGCACCCTACAACTCCATCCAAATTTGCACCGGGGTGTGAATTTTAACAGTACGCTTCAAAATAAATCGAAAGGCACACCACCATTGTGGGGGGCTAACATCGTGGCACATACCCCTTGTCGCTCTGAAGCGCACGTGCCGAAATCGTTTCGCCCCGGCTGCGGCCTGAAGGGGTGTGATGAGTGCGTCAAAGAGGCTGACCTCAATGGAGCAACCACACAACGGAGCGTGCAAAAAACATGAGCACAAGTGGGGAAAACCCCTAAAACCGGGAGCTTGCCATTTACAATGTTTACCCTTGACCCTTGACTATTTACAATGTTTACCCTTGACTAGTAGCATCAACAAGGTCCAGAAAACAAACAGGGTCTTTCTAGGCAGCCCCCCATTTACCTTGTCGTTTCCGGCAGCTGTTCTTTCAGTTTGGGTGAAAGCAACCCTTAAGACTTTTAACTATATTCGTCAGCAAGCGCGCGTAGCTGTAGCCTTGGCGATCTGATGACTTGCCCACATGGCGCCGCTACCAGTAAGTCGTGGGCTGCATGCGGACGTCCACTCGCGTTTCGATGCGCGATCCATTGCGCATGCATGCAACTGGAAGCCACGCGACCGGCGCCAATGCGGCCAGTGCCTCTGGCGCACGAGTGGCAACCTGTCGGCTCGTCGGGGGCGTCTGCCGAGCCACGCCTCTGCTTCGAGGAGCCCCTGGAGGGGTCGTTGCGCAGGACCTTCCGCCGGGCAGAAAGGGGCAGGCCATGTTGAGCGGCGCCGATCAGCTCGGTCGTTCGAGCGAAGCTTCTGCTTTGCATGTGGGCTCATTGAGGCCTCCGCTTGAGGCTCCCCAGCTCAGTTGCAGTCACAAAATGTCACAAAGCTTACTTTTGAACGAAACTCAGAGCCAGACATTGGCTCAGCGGTTTGAGCGCGACATTTTTCGGATGCAAGTTGGAATTGTGCCTTTGGGATTTCCGAAGTTGGAGCGGCAGACGGCCGCGTTTGATCAGTGGGGGTTCTGCCAGACATGAACTAGTTGGCTGTTTTTGCCAAAGATTGTGGGCCCTTTAAAGTTGTATCGGGAGTAAGGACATTCTGTCGAAGGGAGCACTATTCACAAGAAACAATTGCAAAATTTGACATTGAGCCCTTCCATGTCATCATGCTTGCGGAGCTCAGAAACAATTAATGTGATATCATTCGACTGACTCACTCACGCACATGTTCACTGCCATAGGTTAGATGGCACCGGTAGATGATTAGAACCAAAACTGAAAGCAGTGCCATCTAAATTCAACCAAGCTAGACAAAGAAAGACACCCATGTTCACTACGAAGCAAGGCAACAACACTGGAGCGGTCAACCTGTGTGCATGACTCAGCTCTCAAGCTTCGGCCGTGCGCCCAAAGCACTGCGAAGCCCGGTATGAACCCATTTTCTGAATCATCATGGGTTCACATAATTGACGGATGTATAAATTGCTCCAGGAACTGATAACGTAGATTGATGCAAAGTGACACTGGCGCAAGCTTGCCCGCATCGAACAACGGCTTACTGGCGTCTTTGCCAAATTCATGCGGCGCATCCAAAAGAAACGCCGAAACGGGCGTGTCTCAAGAACCAAAGGGGGCCTCCGAAAAAGTGGACGGCGTCGTGCTTGAAAAATCTTGTTTGACTAACCCAAAGGCTTTGGACCAAAGGTGTTGGCCAAAACAGGAAAACCTCCTCCTTTCATTCTAAGACCAACCCCAAACGTTCGCTTCCCCCCCCCCCCCCCGCCAAAAAACAAAAACAAAAAAACAAAACACAAACTTAATAAAAAAAAAAGAGAGAGAGACGAGCAAACCCCACATGCCCAAGGCGCTAGCAGCGCAATAGCGCTCCAAGCCTTCAGCATGGGGGAGTCCGCGTGCAACATGCCTTCGCGAGGGCCCGGGCTCCGGCTCGATGTTTTGTTTGGGGTTCTTGAGTCCAAGCAGGGTGCCGCGAACACATGGAACCTGGCGTACAGAAAATGGCCCCTTTAAACGGAACTGTTCCCAACCAGCACGCCCCCTGTCAGGCTCCATGTGAATTGGTGGGAGTGTACCCTCTTTGGATTTCAAAACCGGAGAAGGAAAACCGTTTGGCCCCATTTCAAGACACACCCATTTCAGCTTCTTTCTAATGGGTGTTTGGAGCGGACCGCTAATTGAGGGCAACTTCCAGCACCCCCGAGCAATTGCTTCTTCCCATGTCCAAACTCCACCAAAAAGCAGTTGGTGGCTGAAGTGTTCCTCCACACAGCTCCAAATCCAGCAATACTTATAATACGGAAGGCAAAGGAACTTCACTATGAGCTCGTTTCTCCACCATATATAGCTAGACTTACTTGGGAGAACGGGGTTTGGCCTTACAAACAAGCTGAATCCTGCACCTCCGAGAAAGAAAGGTCTAGCCAACAGGTATAGCCGCAGGTTCGTGGTAGCAGGGGTTGGCTTCCTTAAGCCAATTTGTGTCCCAACCATTGAAGTTTCTCAGGCTTACTTGGTTTCTTTCTGCTCCCCTGCTAAAAGTTTTAAACTTTTAGTGGTGTAATGGAAAACCCATTAGTTGGCAAACAGCAGTTAAAATCCTAACATCCATTGGCAAAAGTCCTAATATCCCTTGGCAAAATGCACCAAAGCTCACCCATTTCCTCATAATTTGGCGAGCGCCCAAGGTCATCCCCGTAGAAACATGGCTGAGGCTCAAAAAACCGGTACCAAAAGGGTTGCCCTGGTAAGTGGAAACATGGACCAAAACCTGCGGTTTGCCCCTCCTGTTTAAGTTTGAGCGAACTACTAAGTGCACTGTTGCTCATAGAAATTCAGGAGGAACGTCAGGAAGAGTGCGCGCTCTCTCTCTCTCTCACCTTTTGGTGTAAAGGCAAAAACCAAAGTCGGGGTAGAAGAACGGGCAGGGTCCCACCCAACCAACAAGGGGTTGCGACTTCAGCCATTTGGCAGTTCTTTGGTAGCGAAACCCGGGTTTTGGGCAGAGTCTGTGCTACACCTTTGTCAGAGAACCTGTCCGGAACAGCAACCCTCTCGCAAACGAACCTCCGTCTACTCGGCTCATGCTCGACCAACAGAGCAACGGGGGTTCTGGCGCGCCGGGGTGCATGGTGGCAGAGGGTTCTCTGGCCGAGGATGCAGCTGCAGGGTAAACCTGCTCTGGACATCAGTGCCTCGCGAGCCGCCAAAGCTCATAGACTTGGGCTATCACTTTCAGGCCCTTAAAAAGACCTTACTGAGGGCTGATCTTTGGCTTCTTTTGGGTTCTCGGCAGGCCCCTTGACACATGTCTCACAATGAACGCGTTGATATTCTTCAGGCTCCTGTGCCCTTACCAAACTTCGCTCACGCCTGCTCGCTGATGCATTGCTTGAACGCATTAAAAACATGTTGCCTCCAACATATGCTATCAACATAGACCCCAGACAGCAATAATTCAAACAAAACACGTCTACAAAGCAACCCAGCAATGTGCATCAGCCGGTTTGTAAAGTTTTGTTTCTAATTCTGGGGTTGCTGCTTAGAAGCATGGTTTTTCTAGCGGAATTAATTTGGCTTCCGAAGCACATAAAGAGCTGGAAAGTGCGCCACATCATTCTAAATATCCCGGCTGCTTCCTGCAGAGATGCGAGGACAAATTTTACACGCTCGGGCACACATCTGCGCGCGTTCGGAACAAAGAGACAAACGCCCGGACAAGACACACGGGCATGTGCGAGCGCAAGCACGTCACTGCCTCACTGCCCGCTCGTCGCAGCCTGGCTTTCGGCAGCCTCCGGGGAATGGAACCCGGCACCCTCGCGCTTGCACTTGTCAAGGACCCCCAGCCGTCTCGCCTGGGGTGGCCAGTCCGGGGCCTTGAACTCCAGAATGACACGCTGCCTTGCGATTTCCGCTGGGAGAGAGCGGGTCCATCCATGCAGGCGGAAGACGCAGTAGAACAAGGCAGTCGAAACATGTGCGCGCGTAGCAACTTCGCGAAGTGTTCATCGAGGCTCCTACGGCCTGCTTTTGCAAGGCGTCTCTGCACGCAATTGTCGCAGCGAGGTCTGCGGGCGACGCTTGCCAAATCCGTTTCGGCAGGAGGTGAAATTGGTGCGCGATTTACTGCCGTCGCCGCTAGAGCCACGAAGTGTCTGTTTGGGAGCCCAGCTTGATGTCTTGCCAAAGAGGCGCTGGGCATGCAAACGCGACAAAGTTTCTGCAAACGTGCCTGCAGTGAGGCAAACACAGTCCGTGCTATAATCGTCTCTGGCTTTCCATGACAAAGTCTAAGAGAGGAATCACCATCACCATTTATTGGGCGCCTCGCGAATAGGCAACAGCTATGCGTGTCCGCACACTGCACGTTCGCATGCGCTGAGCACAAGAGCACAAGCACAAGCGCAAGCGCGGAAGAGACGTGTCCCTTTGGGCCACCCAGAGGGCGCCCAATCAGAACACCCCGATTTTTTGGCCTCGGCGTCCTTGCCTTTTTGGACACCAACTAAACCTCCAAATCATTTCAATCTCCCCATCTCTCCCCATTAACAACACACAAAACAAATCACGGGGCAAACAACAACACAGGACACGGAATGTGACGAAAGCTCTTTTTGGCTTGAGAAAGATCAGTCAAGTTGATTTTTATCTCTCCCCTTCTGCCAATCTTTGGCAGTGTTGAATATTATAGCAATCGCTTGTTTTAAGGAACCCCACAAATGACGGCTTTCCTGTTGCTTCAGTTTTGACAGGTGGCACTCCAATTTCTGCAGCATTGAAACCCCTTGGTAAATGGGGTTACAAACACTCTTTATGATCCTGACTTAAATTGGTTTAATAATACCCCAAATCTAACTGTTTCGCCGCTTGTAGCAACCGTGTTCAAGCTACTGGGTGGTCCCCTTCTAGCCATGGCTTGTTGGGTTGTAAATAGCAACCTTGAAGACGTCCCGAAGCGGGGCCGTCATCCACCTTGGGCCAAGACTGCCAAGAACTGAATAGACCGACTGGTCAGGTGCAGCGGACCATCTGATTGCAGCACCGGTTTTCCCAAATAATTCCCGAAGGATACCTTTGGGCCCGGCCCTGAAATTTCGATTTAGAGGATTCCCTTGTCAACTCGGTTGACGTTGGAAGAGCAAAATATGAAAACAATAGCAGTTAAGTGGGGATTTCAACCACTAAACCACAAGTAAAGCAAACATGTAAAATGTTTCCCGACAACAACCATGTCAAGCGGGCGGCTTTTGTAACAAAACGCACTTTCGAAGGATGGCCTCCTTGACCTCCTTTGCTGCTGGTTCTGCTGGTGGCGGAGACTCCTTGCGTCTTCAGGCTCATCAGGTCCTCGAAAGCGGCGGGTTGGCCCCCAGATCTGTGGGGCCCGGCCCTAAGCACGGTAGCAGGTGGTAAACTAGGGTTTTCACACAAGGACCCTGCAGTACCATTGAAAGAGAAAACAATGACCACTTTGTGCATGTTCTCTTTTCTCATCTGCAACGGATCAATCGTCTTTCAGCGAGGTCGAGGAAGTCCTGGAAAATGTTTTGGGTCGATGCTTTCCCACACAGCTTCGGCTAGACGGGCACCAAGGAGACGGGCAAAACCCCTTCAATAGGAACATGGTGCCACGCACCGACATGAGAATCAAACTAAGAGACGCCCCTTTTCTTTTCTTGGGGAATGGGCGTCTCTCTTGGGCGGTTTGCTTGATCGATGAAGCGCAACCTGTTGGGAGCTGCAGTCAAATCGGGTCAAGGGGATACTACCTACAGTAACTACAAGCAAGGAGCATGTGTTTCTATGTGCTGAAACTTGGCGTGGGCTAAAAGGAAGCCATCCCAAAAAACATATGTTTTTGTGTGTCCCTGAAAAAAACCTCGAGCCGCCCACTTCTGAGAAAAAAAGAGAAGCTTCGGAAACCACTAAGCCAACGAAGGCGAGCCTGCCAAGCCGGGCCTATCTTAGCTCACCAAAACACCTTCAGAACAGACCGGAAAGTTGAAAAAAAAAGGCGTCGTGTTTGCCTTAAACAAAAAAAGAAAGCTGGCCATTGACTTTCAGTTGCCAACAGGACCCCACGGAAATCAGGGGCCAGGTCTTCCCCTGGCTTTTTTCGGGGACATGCCTGAAGGCCCACAGTTGCCACCCGCAAAGCCTACAGTCATTCAGAAACCTGAAATGAGGGCTGGATGTGTCAGGTAAAGGACCTTCATGCGTTGTCCCTCGTTTTGCCAAGTCTATCAGCTGCCGGCCTCCGTACTTCTGTTTTTGCCCTGCAACACTCTCTTGGCCCGATAGGGATGCTTAAAACATCCCAAGTGGGATATGTTGGACCCCCAGATTGGGAAAAACGCTAAAACATCCCAATCCAAGTGGGATTGAACAAGCATGTTCTTCTCGTGCCTCGTTGCCGATGTCCCACTCCCGTCGCAGGCTTAGCTGCGATGGCACACTTCCTCTCGCGTGCTCCTGCGCGGCCGAACGATCAAGAGGAAAAGGTATCAGCTTTGGGTGACCTTCGCCAGTGGACAAGGGAGAGCCCAAAGGTTGGAAGGTCGGCTGGAAGTCCCGCGGTTTCGCGAAAGTTCGAGCAAGGGAACTTTCAATCAACACGAGAGATGGTGTTTTTTTTCACAGACAGCAAAACCAGCAACAAAAACTCAGCAGTCAGCAAGGGAGAAGCAGGTACAAAGGGCTGTGGATCAAAACCAATGGTACCATTTTGGGGTGGGGGCACCACCCATTTTTGTCTAGTTTAGTGGGGATTGGGATGTTCACTGGGGGGTAAGCGGGATTTTGACCCATGTACAAAGCACTTGAAGTCCTGAAGAAGGGAAAGCCGCGCCTGCGCATTCCACGTGAGCCAAAAGGCCAGTGGTCAATTCGGGGACAGAAACGTCTACGAAGCCCAAACGGGCCATGGTCAACTCCCCGCAATGGTTGCCTGAGTCGCGTATTGAGGCGTCTATGACCATCCCTGGCAACCGAGCAAAGGGGTCTTCTGACCTCGCGGTTTCATGTTGAGGGACAGGCACCCTCAGGAGGTGCCTGGTAAAAGGCGTCTTCTGACCATCGTCTGTGCAGCCACGGCCAACTTAATAAAATGTTGCAATTGCAAAGGACATGGGGAAATTAAAGTTCGTCCCCTGGTTTCTGTTGGAATCTTAGCAAATCCCCCATGCCCCTCCCAATTTGAGACCTTACTAGACATGGTGACTGAATCTGACATGAACGGTCAATATTTGGGTGTGTCATTTTTTTTGAGGGACCCCTTTGTTGTTGTCAAGGGAAAACTGAAAGAAAAAACACCCATTGTGTAAAACCCCTACCACACCCCTTTTCATTGTGTTCATCGCTCGAAATCCCCTTTCCCATGAGTATGCCCCATGTCATCCCCTAACTAACCAATGATTTGCCCAAAACCGCAAGGGCTGAAAGCTTGGCTTTGGAGTCTACACCAGCCACCAAACCAACGGCCCAGGTTGCCGCAACACGCCCCACTATCCAAGTTTGTCCCTGCCAGCACCCCGGTCCCAACCGAAACCACTGCTTCTTGGATCCTGGGATTTTGGACATTGGAAGAAGCAGAGCTTGATAGCGATGGGACGTTGGCAACTTCGACAAAGAACGCCCCACTGTTGAAGATGCATAAAACATGCCGCAAGGATTCCCCCGGTTTCATTGCGCACCTGTTGAAGATGCTTTTTCACCGATTCCCCCGGTAAAAAAAAAACAACGAAGGCCACGAATCCGACTCGAAACAAATCAAACAGCCCCTCTCCTCAAGCTTGCTGATCATCCTGCGAGCCTGGCATTTGCCAGTCCAGTGGCTTGGGAAGACCCGGCAATGGGGCCACCAGCCTTTCAAAAGGCCCGGTTACAGGAAAATCTACAGGACATGGCCACCAGACCACCCGAAATTTGCTGAGTTGTCCTGTAGAATTTCTTGTAATCCAAGCCTTTGAATGGGGTGAAACGTGCAAAGCACAATCTCCAGAAGCAACCAACGTCCGATTCCACTGCCAAGTAGAACTATTGGATGCCACAGGCTCCGCGATTGAAACTATAAGCATGGGGACCGTGGCAACAAGACTCAAGCCACGAGATGCCAAGGTGCCGCACGCGAATATTGCAAATGAGATACGAACTGCACTGCAGAAGAAATGACGCTGGGTAAATTACTGTAACTAACCCCACAATAGGGGTTGATCAATACTCCTGGCCCCCAAATGACCAAGGCTTACTTTTTCTCATTTAGTCGGAACCATTGTCTTTTAGTGGCTTTCCCCCATGGTCATCCCATGTCAAGGACCGTTTGATCAACCCCCAAATAAAGAACTCTCCCACGAAAGGACCTTCATGGGCGAGCTCGCTTCAAATCTTGCCAGATTGCAGTCAGACATCAGCAAGATATCGCCTGAACATCCCAGACCTCGCTGGAAAATGGCAAAAAGATCTGTACCCATGTCGGTTGCCCGGCGTCCGCACAAAGCGACGAAAAGCGCTCGTAGGTCCTCCAGTAGAGAGGGTAGAATATAAGGGTACCCTTGTTGCTGCAGTCGATTTGAGTAGGGGACCCCTCCCCCAAGAAAGAAACGGTAAAAGTTGGCACCTAGCTGGGGGACCTAGGTTCGCGCGCTCGCGCGCCTGTTTGGCCAGCTTGCTGGTCACCTTCTGACCCCGCCGCCTGTCCTGCCGAGGGAAGCGGAGAGACGGCCGAGGAAATCACCGGTTTTGGGGGGTGCGGCCAACCAACCCGGGGTTGAGCCCCCGAGCCGGGGCTAAGCAAAAAGAAAGAAAAGGGAAACTGGTTCCGTGAAAAAAAGCCAAGGAAACGCAAAAAAAAGCCGTTGAACACCAAAGGTCAAAAAACAGGAACAAAAATCCACCTCACGCCTCTGGAACATTTCGGTGGCCTAGTCCCGTGCCCCTTGAAATGGCACCTGGTTGGCTGATTGGTTGGATTGGTTGGATTGGAGGTTGGGTGGTTGGCTGATGGGCTGGTTGGTTTGATCAGTTTGATCTCTGTGGCTTGTCTTGGCCGGTTTTTGCCAATCCCAGAAGTGGGCCCCGCCCTCCGCTTCGCCTGCCTCCTCCTCCTCGCCCTCCTCATCTTCGTCCTGTCCACCCGTGCCTCGGAACAAAGCTGCGGACACGAACCGCCTGAGTTCCTGGAGCCGTCCGAAGCGTCCTTCACGGGCCCTTGGATGTCGTGGGGGGTCGCGTCTGATGCTTTTGGCGAGCGGCCAAAAGCACTTTGCATCATGGAACATGTCCCCTTTCTACAACCATGCACACATGCAACAAACATACTGAGGAACACATATCCACTGTTTCCAGACAGCGCTAATGCCATGATCACTTTTCTTTCGAGCCTTCAAATGTACGCGTACAGGATAAGTGTGGGCAAAATTTAACTCGCCCTACCTTGATCCAGCCGTGCCTGCCTAATTTGGAACTGGATTGCCACCGAATGGGCGAATCAACCCTCAATTTGGCGGACATTCCTTCCGGCTGCCTGTGACCAACCCACAAAAACGACGTCCTTAAAAAAGCAAACAACTGACCCGTGTTTGGACCGTGGGGCTGACAGGCCAGGACAGCACCAACGCTTAGAAGTCTCCAATCTGCTCACTACGCAACAATTGCATACTCCGGGCCCAGCAAAATGCGACGCTTCTCGAGGGACGCCTGCTTTGACAAATGGGCCTGAAACGTTCTCAGCAAGCTGACCCAAGCGCTGCGCAAAGAAGCGAAAGAAATAAATTTCCGGGCCGGAGACGAAAACGACCAGCTAGGTCTTCTAGTAGTGAGGCTAGAATACTTTTTTTTCTGTAGTCTATTTTAGTAGGGGAAACCTCCCAACCAAGAAACGGTAAAAGGGCACTACTGGGGGACCTACCAAGGTGTTGCCCTCAGCGAGCAAACTCTGAAGCACGGCGGTTGCCAGAGGGGCAGGTGAGTCGAGAAAGGGAAAGGAAAAACCGTGGGGGCGACTCAAAAAGGATACGGCGCTGCCAAGCTCAAGGGGCGGGAGTCAGAGGTCAAGCTGAACAGAAGCAAACCCTCACTGAGCAGGCCGTTGCTTTGAAAACCCCCGCTACCAGAGCGACAAGTCTGGCACCGGAAGGCCAAGCGACCAATACGAAAAGCGCCGAGTCTCAAAGGGGCAAACCGAACTGCTTAGAGAGAGACTCCCCCACTCCAACCTTGAAACGGGGGAAGGTGATCATACTGGCATTGTCCGCGGAGCGAGCCAAGAGCTTTCCTTGAATTCCCATTTACAGACTAAGGACTTTGACAGCTTTTTGGTAAAGCCCTCTGGAAAAAATGAAAAATCGCCATATGTTTAGTCATAGACCCTGGTAAAAGAGCACAAACGGAAAGTAACACATATTCTGAACCCAGAGGCTCTCGATGAATTTAGGGCCCTCAAACCGGCTGTCCAATGGAGGGGTCGGGTCTTCCATCGAAAGCCCCAGGAGCCTCTGGGGGAAATCAAACTCTTCTTCTAGGGGTTGCTTCCCCATCATCGTTCTTTCCAACAACCGGCCATTTTCCCTCGGTTTCTGGAGGTTTTCAACAAAGAAGGACCCCTGGAAAGAATGGAAATGGAAGGCACCCCTACAAAAAAAAAAAGGTCCTCCAGTAGAGAGGTTAGAACAAGGGTACCCTTTTCTCTGTAGTCTATCTTAGTAGGGGAACCCTCCCAACAAAAAAAAAAACGGTAAAAGGGCACCTAGCTGGGGGACCTAGTAAACCTAGTCTGAGAGGAACTCGGTTGCTTTTTGCTCCCCTGCTAAAGTTCAACTTTTAGCGGAATAAAATTCGGAGAACCGTTTCAGTAGTTGGCAAAAAGTTAACCTCCCAACATCCAAGCAGAATGCAGCAGAAAAATTCGAGCCGTGCCGCTGCCCGGCAGCTCCGGGGAAGGGATGCGCGTGGTCCGCGAGGTCGGCGGCAGCTGGGGGCCGCTGAAACGGGATTCGACGGTCAAGCCGTCAAAGCCCATTCACTGAGATGCCCTGTGGATTTCCATGGGAAAAAAGGGCATCCTTTCTTGGTCGGTTGACTTTAAAGGGGAAGCCTTCCGAAAAAAAAAGGAAAAAAGGGGCGTTGCTGGGCAGCTGGGCTCACTGAGTTCAAGGGATGCAGACTTTGACCCCTGGTGAAAATCGTGTTTTCTTCTTCTTATGTTTTTTTTGTTTTGTTTAATTCGGGTTTTTGTTGAGTGGTTCGGGGCATTAAAAAAAACACTACTTGCATGCCTGTGCGGAAGCCCGCAAGCCTACGCCGCTGCAAAGGGTGCCTACGCGAGCACAAGTCATGCAGCTTCCCGGTGGTTACGGGGACGCCTAATTACGCGGGCAAATATTCAGTTCAAGTTGAAATGCATTTTGGCAGCTCCAGCTGGAAAATTGCAACTGTTCAGTACAAGAGCAGTTTTGTCTGCTCCAGCTCTAAGATCACTTTAACTTTGCAGTACAAGTGAGAACCCCACATCTGTCCAGGGATCTGGCTGCTAGAAAAGATCTACGTACTCAAAAAGCCTTGAAAGCCTACGCGAATGCCTACGCGAAGACTGCGGATACAACAATGGTGGCTATATGAGCCCCAGTGCTTTAATTGAGAAGCGGATTTTAATCAAATGAAGGGTTTTATACCAAAAGGGCTTTGCATGTACTTTGCAAAGGCAATCCTGGTTGGGGGCATAGGCTCCCGTTGGCTTCTGCGCGCAGGCTGTTGTGCCAACCCTCGCGTAGGCTCTCCGCGTAGGCGTTTGAACAAATCATGGCTTAATGCTGTTTGCCAAGTATAAAGGAGTTTGCTTCTTTTGCCTTCCTTTGGTTTGTACCTAAAACCACGACCGCAGGCGTCTACGCCAAAAGCCTCGAAGCACAAGAAACACACACGACAGAGAAAAAAAACACTTTTATTCATCACCTCCAGGTGCGTGCCGCAGAATCTTTCCATGCGGTTTGCGAATGGCAGGATCGTGCTGGGCGCTTGTCACTCTGGAATGGAACCAAAGACTAAAACCTGCGGTCCAATTCCTGGCGGTTTAATTTTGACCCATACCCAAATGTATCCCAGTGGTCCGTCTCAATCCTTGCCAGCTGGTTTGATGGCACTGCGTCAGATTGCTGAGAACCGCTGATCTCGCAATGACTTCTCGCCATCCAAACGACAAAATCATCTCTGTTTGTTGCCATGGTGATGGGGGGCGAAGGGCGGGGAGTCAGTTGTGCTTCGGGGGCCTTTCTGCTGGCTTGCAAAGAAGTGAGCCGTTTCAATCCTGCATCCTGCCTGCCTCGGAACCAGCTGCCTTTCGCTTTGCGTCTTCCAACACTCCGACCTGACTCAGACACCAACCTGCGCGCATTGGTCCCAACGCAGTTTTTTGACTTGGGCTGGACGGATGCGGACCTCACATGCACAATCCCTGCAGCCAGCTCATGGCTGTCTCTTTCTTTCAGGTCACCCCTTGTCCGATGGTTTTAATAGAGAACCCAAACCAGCATTTAAGGGGGCCCGTGTTGTTTTTGTGTCAAGACACGCCATTACCATTGTAGGTGAATATTTTGGTATAATTACAAAATCTGAATTATGGGACCTTGAAGCAAAATACCTTTGTCATAGTGAAAAGCTCGCCGTAAAGTAGGCAGGTTATCTCTCTAACCTCCTTGCAGGTGTCAAAACCAGAAACCTTCCCTTTGGCGCAAAGGTTTCAGGGCGGCTGGGAGCCAGGGCTTCTGGAATAGCGGAATAGGACCTTTACCGCCTACAGGCTGAGGTTCTGCCCCCAGACCGGCCTCAACATCTCTCCGAGACCTCACCTGGCTGCGGAGGCTGTGTTGCAAGGGCTGCATGGATCTATGGGCAAGCATGATTGTTCTAAGGTTTGATTCCCCATTCTCTTCAACCATCGTTCTCTTTAGAAACCACCCATTTTTCAGGGCTTGGCCCCTTTTTGAAGAGAAGGTTCCGTGAAGAGAATGCGACTAGAATTGTGGCTGAGTGGGTTCCCACTCTCAAACAGCTCAAAGAGTTGGTCAGGCAAATGTCCACCAAAGCCTGCTCCCCGCCTCTCGCACATTTGATGAAACCTCTTTACTCTCAAAGTGGCGCTCAACCAAAAAAGCCCTAAGCCCAGTCCTTCTCCGAGTGCACCCTGCGAGAAAACCTGGCAACCTTCTGCTGCTGCACTTTCTTGAAGTTCAACTCGGGTGGTATTGCGCCGCCTCAGTACCCGATTCGCTGGTCGGGGGTGTCTTTTATAAAACCCGTGGTGGTTGTCCATTTGGTGGTTTGCTGGTTGGTGGTCTTTTCGGGGACCCACGAAATGCCGGTTGTCCTTTTGGTGCTCCTTTAAAACAACCAAAAGCCCTCAAGAAAGACACACCCAGTGTATAGGGACATTGCCTCCTCGCTCCGGCCAAAGGGTCAAAGCATGGTACGACCGAGCAATCCTTCGGGTGCTGCAAATTGGGATTGTTACTGGGTTCTCCAGTGGAGAGGCTAGAATAAGTTGGTACCAACTGTTTGCTGTCTATTTTAGTAGGGGAACCCTCCCCCAAAAAAGGGGAGAAGAAGGCACTACTGGGGGACGTAGGTTATATCCAGGGGAGCAACAATTGTCCCGTTTAGGCAGTTCGCCTAAGCCGTTGCATGGACGGGAGGCTCATAATATGGCACCTGCCTATCTGGAAGAACCTGAGGATCATCCTTTTAGAGCTCGGATAGCCGCTCGTTTGATCCCATGATGTTGAAAAGCCTTGGGGAAAGCAAAATCATCTCCGTTGGTCCGAAATTTGAGCTTCAATTCCTCAATTTGGCAAATCGAAGAGGGATGATGTGCCACAAAGTGTGACACGGGGTTCACGCTTTCGGTCCGTTCATGCGAGGTGATCTCTCCAATGTGCTGCATTTGTCCTGCATGTGTGGTAGCTGGGCTTGCAGTGCAGTTGGTAGCTCTGAGCGAGAGTGGATCAAGCCATGCTCACACCTTGCCGTCCAAGGATGGATATGGGTAATTATCAGGTATGTCAAAACAGGGGACCCAAAAAAATGGCGAAAAGTCCAATCAGAGATGTTGGTGACGCAGGTTTGACAGGGCAAGGCCAAACGCCAGATCGCCGTACTTGTTTTCCTACACTTAGAGTGGGTAGTGCAACTCACGTGCAACTGATGTCGAGGAAATCCGGGGAGCAGGGCAGTTGTTTTCAAAATGAGAAGGCATGTGCTCCGACCAACCGACACCTGTTGACCCCACCTTTTGATCGGGTTGTTTCCCCCTAAAGTGATGAACATCCGCCAAAAGGGGACAGCCCAAATAGCCTCTGAGATTGAGGGGGGGAATTATTGGCGGCCCTTGACAACAAATCTGCTTCTTTTCACCTTGATCAAAATCAACAAGGGGTTCTACTTAGACTCGCGGGTGGTTCCCACCCATTCGCTCGCCTTCGTAAGCGCTCTGAAGGGCGACGTCATGGGCTGCGGAAAGCTTCTCCTGCGGTTGCGTCAAGTGCTCGTTGTCGTTTCATGAGACGAACGGTTCCCTTGTTGGGTGGAAACCAAGGGGAGAATAACCAGGTTGCGGGGTCCAAATCCTATTTTGACAGCCAACAAAAAGAAGAACCATGGGGGGTCCGAATCCCATTTTTGACACATGCCGGAATTTTAGTACAATCCCCAAATCGGAAACAAGCGATCCCATGCTAAAACCCTCAACCCAAGTCCTTCAAAAAGAATCGAAGCCGTACCAAATCAATCCCAATGCAGATAAACCCGCTTCGCACCAGTTGGTAGCGGGTTTTTCCAAGTATTCACAGGGTTTCATCCATTGGTGCAAAGGGGGCTTTGTACACCTAGAGCATAATGGGCATGGGTGTCCTTTTAGGGGAAACCACCAGCCTGGTAAACCAGGAATCGCCATCTATTTTTTCTAGCAAACACCCCAAAAAGGACACCTACAGGATAAGCGGCTAACGAATTGGGAGCTTCATTTGTAAATCTTTTGACGGACGCCATCCTTTGGGGTCTTTATGTCCATCGACCGTGTCCGAGCCCCAAAGGAAAATTCATAGCTGGTGCACACACTATGGACCAGTGATCCCGAGGTGATCTGGTTGAAGACTACACCACCACCCTTTCGAAGAGACGCGATCCGGAGAAGCCCCTGGAGAATGTCATTGGGAGTCGCGAATCCCGAATCCCGACACCACCCCGGACCCCGGACCCCGGACCCCGAATCCCGACATTGGAATTGGGATGGGTTCGCGAATCCCGAATCCCGAACCTTATTTCGGATTCGCGAATCCCGAATCCTGAATCCCGAAATTGGGATTGGGATTCGGGGATTGAGATTCGCGAATCCCGAATCCCGCGCGGCGAGGCGATCCCCGGATCGCCACTCCCTTCGAACTGTTTAGGTCGTGATGGTATCTGCAAGTTCTGTCAACATGTTCGAAACCATAAAATAAGAATTACCTCAAGTAAAGGACAACGGCCGCCGGCCAACCGACGCCAACTGACGCTAACCGACGCAAACCGCCAGCTCCACCCCATCCGCCTGCAGCTCTTTTCAGGTTTGTCAGTGGCAAACGAGTGACTTCCCGAGACGGCCCTCATGGGTACTCGCAGACACCAAACACAAATTGCGGTAGGGGTCCCGCGTGCAAGTTTCCAGTCATGAGCCTGCGTGCCTGCTTCAGGATAGATTGAGTCTGGGAACCTGTCAAAGTTGGGAGTTCTTCCTTGCAGGTGATGGAGGGGGTGTTCCCCTCAGTTGGCGCCGGTTGGCCTTCTTTGGGGCGTCAAACTTGCTGCATTTCGACGCCCCGAGCGTCAGAAAGACATCGGTCGGCGTCAGTTGGCGTCGGTTGGCCTCCTTAAATTTCGGGATTCAACAATCTACGCCATGACTCCGCGAGCGTCAGAAAGACGTCGGCGCAAAAATGATCCCCTGACAGAATCCTATATTTTAAACAAACCAAGCACCATGGTTGGGGGTCGGTGGATTTTGCGGATGGGCCACGCGTGGATGTTTGTGAGACCTGTCCAGCTCTTTGTTGACCATACGCTGTTGACCTGTATGAGGGGCTGTTTCATGATTACTTTTTGACTATGCAGGGCTTGGTTGCAGGGTGGCATGGATCGCATCACCCAGGACCCCCTGAGTTCTCAGAAGCTGGCAAAGCTTTGAACGGATCAGCGCATACCTGCTTAGGCAAGGGAACGTTTTGTGTGCTCAGCATTGCGTGGACGCAACTCCTCGCGACGCCTGATAGGGTTTTTGCGACTGGTAATGCGCCAGTGTGCCCGCCAAAAATTGGATGTTGCAGCTGCGCTTGATTGTCGCGGCAATCGCCGCGCTTTGCGCGCTACGCGCCTGCCGATTTCTTCAAAGGCAACTGGCAAGGAAACACCCTATTGGTTGGCCGCCACAAGCGCGGGCTGCGAGCATAGCGAAAGCCCAGTAACTTGTCTGGTCGCAGGCGCAGACTGAAGCAGTTCTCAACACGGCACGCCTGGCTGCTCCTGCCAATTTACCACCAAGCCGGATTACTAGGCGAGAGTTTTTCAAGGAGTTGCGGGGAGGCTGAGCAATATAGGAGGAGTCGCGGGGAGGGTGAGCAAGACTTGCAGGAGCTCCCTGTGCGTCCGTTTACCTGATAGGTACAAGTTGCGTTTCTCCTTTCACCTTCATCGTTAAATGTGACAACAGCGCGCGAACTTGCCTGTTTCGCCCCGCGAAACCCTAACCAGTCGTAGCCAGGGTGTCAAGGTGACGCAAACAGAAGGGTGAACTCAGTCCCTTTCCTCAGAAACGGAGTGCGAAGAAGAATTGTCGTAGGCAGCGGCCACGCCTTGAAAGCGAAACAATTAGTGTTCGGGGTGTGGGGGGTTGTAGCTGGAACCCCAAAAATGGTAGTCCGCCCCGTGGTGAATCGGGATCCGAAGGGTACATGCGACGCCCGTGTCGCCATGAGCTCGCAAGATGAGACGCGTGCATCGATGTCCAAATGCAAGTCTTGGACATGGGCCAATCGTCAAAAGCCCTTTGATGAAAGAAACCCAATGACTTGCTGGTGCGATGCTCCAATGACTTGCTGGAGCGATAGGGAATGGCCTTCCGAAAGTTGGGAGGGAAAGTATGGGCTCCCTTACAGGAAACCATAGAGGGTTTGGTTTACTGTAGTGGCCATTCCAATTCTCATTCCCACACAAGATGACTTTTCCTCCTTTCAAGTCGCACTTCTGACACCGCCTGTAATGAGATGTTCCTTTTCACCTGGCACCGCTTAGGCAGGTCCAAATGTGGATCACAGTGTTTCCTTTTCAATTGGGAGAGGTTGGAATCGGGGTACCCCTTTTGCCGTAGTCTATCTTAGCCTTTGGGTCAAAAAATCCGAGCCCGAAGCTTTCCCACCCTTTTCCCTCCTGCAACACCTGGATCTGCGCCAAGATGTCCCCAAATGAGACGGGCTCCTGCGAGAGGTGAATCCAGGCCCGGTGGGCCCCAAGCAAAGTGGCAAAGCCCGTGACGTGGTCGGGGGTCTCCAGACTCGACGCATACGTTCATTGACGGGGTCATGACCCGATGACCCGGGTGAAACGCAGGGTGTAGTACAAACAGCCGGTGTGTGGGTGTGGTGCGTCTTTCGTCGAGGGTGCAGGGCCTTCATGTGGGAACCCCCCCAAACATTTAGGGAGTTCCCGGATCTTGAGACAAAACCAACTCAGGGTCTTGCTGTTTCTATATGGCAAAATGAAACCCTGGCAAGGAAAATCATGGTCTAAAAACCTATGTTCCCAGGTGGTTTAATATTAGCCCATACCCATATCTGTGTGTGTAGAAGTAGATAGATGTTGCTAAACAGTTCAGCGAGGCGTCCTGGCCTTGCCACGTCGGGCTTGCAAGGCTCACGTGTCATTTCGCCAAAGATGGAGGAGCTTGAAAAGAAGTTGGGAGACGAAACAATGGAAAGGTTGACCTTAGTTGGTGAGTCCCTGTCCCAAGTTGCGTTCATATAAGAAGTGTTTTGCAGTTCTTCCGTGCGGAATGACTTGAGCAGCTGGCTCAGAGAAACTTGCTGAGAGAACTTGCTGAGAGAACCTGCTGAGAGAACTTGCTCAGAGAACCTGCTCAGAGAACTTGCTCAGAGAAACTTGCTCAGAGAACTTGCTCAGAGAAACTTGCTCAAGAACCTGCTCAGAGAACTTGCTGGGACAAACTTGCTCAGAGAACTTGCTCAGAGAAAGTTGCTGAGAACTTGCTCAGAGAAACAAACTTGCTCAGAGAAACATGTTGAGAGAACTTGCTCAGAGAACTTGATGAGAGAACTTGCTCAGAGAAACTTGCGAGCACTTGGTGAGAGAACTTGCTCAAAGAAAATTGCTGAGAGAACTTGCTCAGAGAAACTTGCTCACAGAACTTGCTCAGAGAAACTTGCTGAGAGAACTTGCTGAGAGAAACTTTCTCAGAGAAACTTGCTCAGAGAAGCTTGATCAGAGAAACTTGCTGAGAGAACTTGCTCAGAAAAACTTGCCGAGAGAACTTGCTCAGAGAACTTGCTCAGAGAAACTTGCTCAGAGAACTTGCTCAGAGAAACTTGCTGAGAGAACTTGCTGAGAGAAACTTTCTCAGAGAAACTTGCTCAGAGAAACTTGCTGAGAGAACTTGTTGAGAGAACTTGCTCAGAGAAACTTGCTGAGAGAACTTGGTCAAAGAACTTGCTCAAAGAACTTGCTCAGAGAAAAGTGCTCAGAGAACTTGCTCAGAGAAACTTGCTCAGAGAAACTTGTTGAGAGAACTTGCTCAAAGAACTTGCTCACAGAACTTGCTGAGAGAACTTGCTCAGAGAAACTTGCTGAAAGAACTTGCTCGGAGAAACTTGCTGAGAGGACTTGGTGAGAGAACTTGCTCAAAGAAGGTTGCTCAGAGAACTTGCTCAGAAACTTGCTCAGAGAACTTGCTCACAGAACTTGCTCAGAGAACTTGCTCAGAGAAACTTGCTGAGAGAACTTGCTGAGAGAACTTGCTCAGAGAACTTGCTCAGAGAACCTGCTGAAAGAACTTGCTCAAGAACTTGCTGAGAGAAACTGCTGGGAGAACTGGCTGAGAGAACTTGCTGAAAGAACTTGCTGAGAGAACTTGCTGAGAGGCCTTGATCAGAGAACTTGCTCAGATGTCTTGCTCAGAGAAACTTGCTGAGAACTTGCTCATTACTGAGAGAACTTGATCAGGGAACTTGCTCTTTGAACTTGCTCAGAGAAACTTGCTCAGAGAACTTGCTCGAGAACCTGCTGGAAGAAACTTGCTGAGACAACTTGCTCAGAGAGCTTGCTCAAAGAACTTGCTCAGAGAAGTTGCTGAGAGAACTTGGTCAGGGAACTGGCTCGGAGAACTTGCTCAGAGAAACTTGCTGACAGAACTTGCTGAGAGAACTTCGTCAGAGAAACTTGCTGAGAGAACTTGCTCAGAGAACTTGGTCAGAGAAACTTGCCCAGAGAATTTGCTGAGAGAACTTGCTCAGAGAGCTTGTTTAAAGAACTTGCTCAGAGAAGTTGCTGAGAGAACTTGATCAGGGAACTTGCTCAGAGAAGAACTTGCTCAGAGAAACGTGCTCAGAGAACTTGCTCAGAGAAACTTGTTGAGAGAACTTGCTGAGAGAGACTTGCTGAGAGAACTTGCTCAGAGAAACTTGTTGGGAGAACTTGCCCAGAAAAACTTGCTGAGAGAACTTGCTGAGATAACTTGCTCAGACAAACTTGAAGGGAGAGCTTGCTCAGAGAAACGTGCTGAGAGAACTTGCTCAGAGAACTTGATGAAAGAACTTGCTCCAAGAACCCTGCTCAGAGAAACTTGCTGAGAGAACTTGCTGAAAGAACTTGCTCAGAGAACCTGCTGAGAGAACCTGCTCAGAGAACTTGATGAGAGAACTTGCTCAGAGAACTTGCTCAGAGAAACTCGCTCAGAGAACTTGCAGAGAGAACTTGCTCAGAGAACTTGCTGAAAGACACTTGCTCAGAGAACTTGCTCAGAGAGCTTGCTCAGAGAAACTTGCTGAGAGAACCTGCTGAGAGAACTTGCTCAGAGAACTTGCTGAGAGAACTTGCTCAGAGAAATCTGCTGAGAGAACTTGCTCAGAGAACCTGCTGAGAGAAACTGCTGAGAGAACTTGCCGAGAGAACTTGCCTGGAGAACTTGCTGAGAGAACTTGCTGAGAGAACTTGCTCAAAAAACTTGCTCAGAGAACTTGCTCACAGAACTTGCTGAGAGAACTTGCTCAGAGAAACTTACTGAGAGAACTTGCTCAGAGAAACTTGCTGAGAGCACTTGGCGAGAGAACTTGCTCAGAGAACTTGCTCAGAAACTTGCTCAGAGAACTTGCTCACAGAACTTGCTCAGAGAACTTGCTCAGAGAAACTTGCTGAGAGAACTTGCTGAGAGAACTTGCTCAGAGAACTTGCTCAGAGAACCTGCTGAAAGAACTTGCTCAAGAACTTGCTGAGAGAAACTGCTGGGAGAACTGGCTGAGAGAACTTGCTGAAAGAACTTGCTGAGAGAACTTGCTGAGAGGCCTTGATCAGAGAACTTGCTCAGATATCTTGCTCAGAGAAACTTGCTGAGAACTTGCTCTTTACTGAGAGAACTTGATCAGGGAACTTGCTCTTTGAACTTGCTCAGAGAAACTTGCTCAGAGAACTTGCCCGAGAACCTGCTGAGAGAAACTTGCTGAGAGAACTTGCTCAAAGAGCTTGCTCAAAGAACTTGCTCAGAGAAGTTGCTGAGAGAACTTGATCAGGGAACTTGCTCAGAGAACGTGCTCAGAGAAACTTGCTGACAGAACTTGGTCAGAGAAACTTGCTTAAAGAACTTGCTGAGAGAACTTGGTCAGAGAAACTTGCCCAGAGAATTTGCTGAGAGAACTTGCTCAGAGAAACTTGCTGAGAGAACTTGCTCAGAGAAGAACTTGCTCAGAGAAACTTGCTCAGAGAACTTGCTGAGAGAAACTTGTTGGGAGAACTTGCTGAGAGAAACTTGCTGAGAGAACTTGCTCAGAGAAACTTGTTGAGAGAACTTGCCCAGAAAAACTGGCTGAGAGAACTTGCTGAGAGAACCTGCTCAGAGAAACTTGCTGAAAGAACTTGCTCAGAGAAACTTGCTGAGATAACTTGCTGAGATAACTTGCTCAGACAAACCTGCTGAGAGAGCTTGCTCAGAGAAACGTGCTGAGAGAACTTGCTCAGAGAACCTGCTGAGAGAAACTTGCTCAGAGAACTTGGCGAGAGAACTTGCTCAAAGACCCTGCTCAGAGAAACTTGCTGAGAGAACTTGCTGAAAGAACTTGCTCAGAGAGCCTGCTGAGAGAACCTGCTCAGAGGACTTGATGAGAGAACTTGCTCAGAGAACTTGCTCAGAGAAACTTGCTCAGAGAACTTGCTGAGAGAACTTGCTCAGAGAACTTGCTGAAAGAAACTTGCTCAGAGAACTTGCTCAGAGAGCTTGCTCAGAGAAACTTGCTGAGAGAAGCTGCTGAGAGAACTTGCTCAGAGAACCTTGCTCAGAGAACCTGCTGAGAGAAACTGCTGAGAGAACTTGCTGAGAGAACTTGCCCGGAGAACTTGCTGAGAGAACTTGATCATCAGAGAGAAACTTGCTGAGAGAACTTGCTCAGAGAAATTGCTCATGCTCACAGACCTTGCTGAGAGAAACTTGCTGAGAGAACTTGCTCAGAGAAACTTGTTGAGAGAACTTGCCCAGAAAAACTTGCTGAGAGCACTTGCTGAGATAACTTGCTCAGACAAACTTGCTGGGAGAGCTTGCTCAGAGAAACGTGCTGAGAGAACTTGCTCAGAGAACCTGCTGAGAGAACTTGCTCAGAGAACTTGATGAGAGAACTTGCTCCAAGACCCTGCTCAGAGAAACTTGCTCAGAGAAACTTGTTGAGAGAACTTGCTCAGAGAACTTGCTCAGAGAGCTTGCTCAAAGAACTTGCTCAAGAACTTGCTGAGAGAAACTGCTGAGAGAACTTGCTGAGAGAACTTGCCCAGAGAACTTGCTGAGAGAACTTGCTCACAGAACTTGCTGAGAGAACTTGCTGAGAGAACTTGCTCAGAGAAATTGCTGAAAGAACTTGCTCAAAGAACTTGCTCAGAGAACTTGCTCAGAGAACTTGCTCAGAAAAACTTGCTCAGAGGACTTGCTGAGAAAAACTTGCTGAGAGAACTTGCTGAGAGAACGTGATCAGAGAACTTGCTCAGAGAACTTGCTCAGAGAAACTTGCTCAGAGAACTTGCTGAGAGAACTTGCTCAGAGAACTTGCTGAGAGAACTTGCTCAGAAATGTTGCTCAGAGAAACTTGCTGAGAGAACTTGCTCAGAGAGCTTGCTCAAAGAACTTGCTCAGAGAAACTTGCTCAGAGAAACTTGTTGAGAGAACTTGCTCAGAGAACTTGCTCAGAAAAACTTGCTGAGAGAACTTG